TAATTAGTGGTTAAAATTTGTGGATTTTATATGTTCAATTCACGATTAATTTACAACTTATGCAATTCAATTATTAATTAGTCTCATCAAAATTCACGCTATACGGTGCGACGCTCCTAAGTCTACTTATGATATTGTTATTATATTTAATTAATGTAACGGTAATGATAATAGCAATAATGGTAACAATAATAAATGTGTACGTACAAGGATGGCGTGAACTCTTGTGAACTCTGGGCGCGTTGCCCTTTCCAACCCCCTCCCCCTCCCCCACCCCTCTCCACGCCGTTCTATCCGAAGGTTAGTGAAACAACCGAGGGAAAGGGGAGGTGGTGGTGTGTATGCATTTCATCGTGCATCATTCTCTATGCGCGACCCGACCTTTCGTGTATCTCTCCTCTAAGCCGAGCGCATTTTTGCTCGCGTGTTATGCACGGCTCGACGACGACGATGCACCGTTTTTATTCCCCGCCGCGGCTTCGTAAAACGGAGGAAACACTCGCTATTCGCATCGCAATTTTTATGGCTGTCCGCCATTCCGTATCCGAGAGGCCTAAGAGCCTAAAGTTCGCGGGAAGAGAGTGAGAGAGAGATAGATAGATAGATAGAGAGAGAGAGAGAGAGAGAGAGAGAGAGAGAGTGAGAGAGAGAGAGAGACTGTACGGTTTTTTTTTCTTTTTCTTCTTTTTATACATCGAGAAACATCGCAAAATGTGCGGAATCGCGCGTGGTCTCGCGTGCACTTTCCAGATAAATTAAATAAAGAAACCTGCGTGTATAAATTTAGCCGACTCGACATCTGCACGTGAAACAAGGTCATGCATGCCCGACGTTTGCTTTTTGGCAACATATTTATTTTGCAGAATTCCGATGTCTCTTGTGGACACTTGAGCGTTTTATCATATCGGCTTCAAAAATAATCGTATTTAAAAAGCTTGGATTAAATTCGCTGTACAACTCGTTTGCTTTTGCAATTATACGCGAATCTATAAATAGGTCGATATCGATAATTTGGGCTTGTTATAACACACACATCCACAGTTATCACTGACCTACATTTGACGTTAGACCGAACTTTCTGATAAATTCGCTCTTTACGTAACAATACATTCGCAATACATTGTCCTCGATACGTCTCGCGCGAGACACCGTGTACATGCGCAAAATCGCGGGACAAAATCGCGCTAACTATAGTTTGTAAAAGCGTATTACTGCGTAATACGGTGGCGTTTCAGGGCCGCAATCACCTACATACGCTTATTTTATTCGCAGCAATTTCGTAATGTCTAATTGAATCCGGAACGCGCGAACTACCGTAATTGTTCTAATGCCTGTCGCGCTCAGAACGCATTGCAACATCGTTCGTCAACCACACACAAGGATATTTCTTCTGTCCAATGAATATGATTTCTACTTTGTCGAATTTTACGATAAGCGAAGTTTAAAGAGGACATATTTTTAAATTTTAGAATAACAGAAAATATTTATGAGAATTTTGAAATTCTTGAAATTTTTAGTAAATTTGTGAAACTAAAATTTGCAAACAGAAGATCAATTTTATTTTGTTTTATTAATCTTTATTTCGAGTCGAGGCTTCCTTAAAGACCCAGTCTACTCGAGCAGTATGAAAAATTGATGATTTTTAGGAATCTTTTTTTTTGAAGAATTTTAGACATTAATTTTGTGAGAAATGTCAAAAATTAAATTAATTTTTTTGGCGTTTTATATGTGTTTTTATCAATTTTTCATGCTAGTAGAGTAGAGTGGGCTCTTAATACACCGATCTGCAACCATGACTTTTTCCCATGACTTTTCCAACTTTTCAACGATTCCTGTGTGACATGACGTGTGGTTTCTAACGAAGGTACCGGAAACCGTGACTAATTGCTGCCACAATTACCCCGCACGAGCGTGAAATACGCGTCTTATCGCCTTGGCTTCTTTTTCTTATACGCAGGAACACGTGAACTTCGTGGGAAGGGACGGTGAGAACGGCCCGGTCCTGGTCTCGGTGAAGGCCGAGACGGTCGCCGGACAGGAACATTGGCGGGTGTTGCTGCGATTGCGAGCTGGATCGACGCACGACCTGGTCCCCGCCTCGAATCTCAGCCCAAATCCTACGCCGACGAAAATGGTCAAGGTAATGGCGACGGTCGTTCACTTACAACAATGATCCCTCACAGTCCGGAATAACGTCACGCGATAAAATTCAGATTAGAATGTCTCGGGAAGTACGCACACATGTAAATTTGCTGGAAATTCTAAGAAAGCTTAATGTACAATAATATATGTAAAATTATATTATATTGTTAATTATACAAAATGTCACATTTAAAATCCTTATTTTTAGGATATCTTTTTTATTTATTTATTTTAATTATTTTTTATTATGTAAAAAATATAACTCGCAAAATTTAAATCAAATATAATGTAGAGATACAGTTTTTTTTTTCGAAATTCTGTTCCAATTTCTAAAACCTGTGACCAGAGAGAAACTCTTCGAAATAACTTCCTTTATTTCGAGCTATTGTGCAATATATCATGCACTGTTTACGTATCGGAGACGTTGCTTATACCGGGTGGCGCACTCGAGACAGGCATACTCGATTACCTGTTATGTTTGAAGAGATAATAAGAAACTCCTGGGCTAACAGTCGCGCTGTGTTTACGCAGAGCGATATTAATACACGAACAGTGTGTGTGAAATGTTTACTATAAGCCCAGTTTTTCAAAGTTGTTTTAAGATCAAACAATCGCTCGTGCGATCGAATACGTCGCAGCGAAGAGTGAACTCGGCGATGAGAGTTTCGCCTGTAAGCGATATCTGTATGTTTGAATAATTAATTACAATTGGATGAGCTACGCAACTTGTAATCGCATCTGCAGACTTTTTCTTATCTAGGTGCCTAAAAAAAAAACTATTGAAGTATAAATCATAAAGTAAAAAGGAGGAAAATCAACAATTATAGAGGCATATAAATTTAAAAATTTACAGAATTTTCAAATTTATACGGATGCAAATATATCAATTAATCAACGTAACTATTAAATTGAAATTTAAAATAAAAGTATTAAATATTAGCTAAAAAAATCAAATAAAAATTAAATTTCGAAAGAATAATTTTTATTTTTTGTGATTATTCGAAAGCGCGAATTTTTATTAAAAATAATGGATATATTGCAAAGATATAAAACGCCTTAATTTTTTTTTTCCTCGATTGTGTCACACCATTTTGTTTTATATTGTCTGTAAAAATATAAAAGAGGAAAACTGTTAAATATAACAGAGGAAGACTATTAAAAAATCATTAATTCCGGGCGATGGAAAGGCTATATCTGACCTTGAGTTATATATTCCGCCAGTGCGCAAAAAAACGCATAAACAGGCTGAATTATTTAACGTCCGTCGTATGTGCATGCTTTATCTCTCGGCTGTTATGTATGCGATCGCGCGGCGGTTGGAGGAAGTGAAAAGGAGGAGAAAAGGAAAGATAGAGAGGCATATGCCATACATGATAAAACACAGGAAAGACCTTGCCTCGTTTTTTCGTAATCGTACGTCGATTATGCATTGACGTGCATTATTCTTCTTATCGAAGAACAATTGTTCGCAGGCGATCAACGAGTCCTTGAACGTGAGCCCCTTGATGCCGGTCATGTGCCCCGGCGCCGGTATCCTGATCGCTCGATACGACGAGCACGCCCTGGTCTCCAGGTTCAAGTTCGGCGTTCTACATCAACGAGCTGGCCAAGTCACCGAAGAGCAACTCTTTGGCAATCGGCAACTCACACCGGCCTTCCAAGAATTTCTCGATTTGCTCGGCCAGAAGATCGACCTCAAGGATCACAAGGGGTAAAATTATTTTTTCAAGAAACAGGATTTTTTAAAAAGATATTATGTAAGAATTCTTATTTCTTATTTCTATAAATTTGAGTCCGCCATTAGAAAAAATACATAAAATTGTAGAATTGCAAAGAATCGGTAATAAAAAGATCTCTAATTTTTATCTCGAATATTCGTCAAATGGATATTTTGATTGCATAACAAAATAAAATTTATTTTCGTACTTTTATGTTTTCTATTTTTACTCTTCTAATTCAATGGTATTTCAGCTATCGCGGTGGATTGGACACTCGACATGGACAGACCGGCGATTCGGCCGTATACGAAGTATTCCGGGGTCGAGAAATGCTGTTTCATGTGGCCTCGTTGCTGCCGTACAGTCCAGGCGACTCGCAACAATTGCAACGTAAACGGCATATCGGCAACGACATTGTCGCCATCATATTCCAGGAGGAACCGACGCCCTTTAGTCCGGACATGATTGCCAGCCACTTCTTGCACGCCTTTATCGTCGTACAAGTCATCGACCCCTGCACTCCTAATACGAGGTATATTCTTAGATTCATAGTTGCTCTTTCTACACGCTGCCTGTGCTCTGCCGCTGAAGTCTTGGCAAACGGTCCATTATCGAACCATTTATCTAACAATAAATATCTTTCGTCGAACTGTTGCTTTTAGTTAATGCGAGAAGCAATAAATAATAATTGGATTTAACTTTACATAAAGGTACAAAGTCAGTGTGACAGCACGCGACGACGTCCCCTGGTTCGGTCCAACCTTGCCGACACCTGCGGTCTTTCTCAGAGGTGTCGAGTTCAAGGAGTTCCTGCTCACGAAGCTCGTAAATGCCGAGAACGCCGCGTACAAAGCTGAGAAATTCTCCAAGTTGGAAGTAAGTCTTCCTGTTTTAAATATCTTCTTGCTACCTTTGTCCTGCGTAACCGGATAGCGTCCGTGTTCTCACGTAACGACATCTAATAGCTTATTGTTGCGATGTTCTGAAAATGTGAGGAGAAATATTGCGCCAAATAAGTTATCCGCACGATTTTCAGCTACGGACTAGATCGGCCTTGTTGGAATCCTTAACGGAGGAATTGCAGACTAAAACGAGTGAATTTCTTGGCGGTCCGGTCGGTCTAGGAAACTCCGGTTTGACCATCTGTCCGGTGAGTCCAACGACGAGTGATGTATCTGCTTCGGGGAGCAGTGGTTCGCGATTCATTGATACCGTACGCAAAGCGCTGATTTCGCGCGTGAGGAACGCATCGACGGAGAGTGTACCGCAGCAACTGGCAAAGAAGGGTCAACAGACGGAACCCAGTCCACCAAGCAATCGGCAGTCGACCGCCATAAAGGTGAGTGAATGAACGAATGAATGAGTTCGTTCGTATTCATTACGCGTTGTGGAATAAAATTCTTTCGGATCAATCGATTATGAGCATATGAAAAGAAATCCAGACAACAGTTTTGTAAAATGATTATATAACAGATATATAAAATATAAAATATATCAACTATAACTATAAATTTAATATATTAAAAGATAAGAAGCAGAATAAAATGAAACAGATTAAAAATTATTTTTGTGTGTTTAGGTGAGTGGTAGCAGCAAGCGCTCGGTGGAACCATCCAGTCCTCTCGGTTCACCGGATCTAACACTGAGGAGGGACTCGGAACGCGGCAGTTTCGGTAGCCAGGACAGCAGTTTGTCCAATACTGACAATCAGGATAGCAGTCTAGCTACGTTGCAGCAAGACGAATATGATCGCAGGGAATCGCAGCAGAGTACGAGTGTTGTTTGCCTCGATAGTGACGCCACTATCGTCGACAAGAGCCCGGCACCGACATCGGCAACAACGGTGCAGCGATTAACGCACGAGAATCTGCGCACACAGGAGAAAACGGCGACGACGGAGGTGACGCAACGAGTGATCTCGGAGAGCGACGACAGTTCGCTCAACAGCGAACTCGAACTCGATCAGGCCGTATATCCCGACAGCGACACAGGCCTCGAATCCATGAGTTCCGCAGAGACTCACGATACCGCCAGATGTACGAGCAAGGACGGAGTCGTGGAGAACGATACTCTAAGGATGGAAGTCACCAGGCTCAAGTGCGACAAGCTGGATTTACTGCGACAAAATGTGGTAAGTAAAAGAAGTAGATCGAATTGAAAACTTTATACTTAAATTGTAGAGACTTACGAAAGAAGATTGCGATGAAAGAAAAAACTTCAATTATATAATGTGTATCACAGACATGCCAACGTGAACTGAAACGTCGTCGAGAAAAGGAACTGCAATTGGAATCCGATTTAGCAGCAGCGTCCAAAGAGATTCTACGGTTGCGAACGATGTTGAAGGAGTGTTCTACCAGCATTCCGCTGGAGAACAATAACCAGCAAACCTCCACTGTGTAGAGAGCTCGCGAGTGCGAATGCGTATTAGGTTGCGAGATGGAAAGGTTTTTGCTATCAAATACTGCGTATGTTGTAGATTCGGGAAATTATCTTCGATGCGCGAAATAAATTTCGTCTTTATTAGAAATCTATCGCAACACCCAGCTTCGCATGCATGTTACTTGTTTTATTACTTTCGCGCACAGCCCGATATCGAGATTACTCAAACGACATGCGAAACGCCAATAATTTGAAGGATATTAATTAAAAGATATCTTTCCGACGCTTGACAAGTCTCGATACTTAAACACCATGTACCTTCCATTCATCAGGAATTGTTCATCACTTCCAAAGGTCTACCGTTAGTGCTTTATAAAAGCATGTAGAGTTTGCAACTAAATATTTTAGCGTAAAGATTAATCGTTTAAATTAAGCTTTCTTTCTCGTAGATAGAAATCGGTACAAGTTCTATAAGTCATATACGAAGTAATAGGATTAGTAAAAATCTTGCAAAAGTTATGTATAGTGACCGAAGCGTCTTCGGTACACTTACAGTATAAATTCAAGATTGTTGGAGCTATTGTTTGACATATAAGACACATATATGTGTAAAAAATATTTATCTATTAATTTATTAGTAGACTTAAGTTGACCACTCGTAGTCAATATACATACATGGATATGTGTGAAAAGAAACAGTAGAAATAACTGAAATATTAATTGTTTTAAAAATGCAGAGATTCAATATTCTCGATATTTAGAAAAGACAAAAATTACCGGAGGTCATTGAGAGAGGCGTTTATTTCTGTATATCGATTACGTGTTAGAAAACTAACGATATATAACTCCCGCTTATTCTTCCGTAGAGTGCGCAGATATCAAAAACTATTGCGAAACATTTCTTTCAAACTTGGATAATGCGAGCTTACATGATCGGGAGATCTTTCATCATCGGGATTATAGAAAGGAAAATATGTATCGCTAGTTTGTTAACAGTATTTGTCATGGTAGACTTACTCGAAACATTTGTCCGTTTACTAATTTCCTAATATTAGATATCAGAGAATAGTTTTATAGAGAGTACTTCTACGAGGTTTAATCTTCCTTAAAATGCTATCCCCGCATGCTAGTTTTAGCAACAACTGGGGTTTCTAACCATTTTTAAACAATTGCGCACAGCACCAAATCATTTAAGTATATGCATCACACATTTTCACAAAGTATAGACATTTTTGTTTTTTTTTCGCACACGCAAGCAAAAGATGTGTTCTCATTCACCGCTTAAGTTAAGTATTTTGTATTTGCTCTTGGTTGACAAACGTCGAATTTTTCTGTTATTTCTTACAACTAGTATTAATACGATTCTTACCATTATTATTATTAGTACTTTTATTAACTTTGATTACGCTGTACTTTGTATGATCTTTGTAAATAATCGTCGATATAGGCAAACACTCAAAGGCGCTAAGCAGACCGGCACAAAGAGGAGGAACAACGACGTTCACTCACATATAATACCAAAGTTTAATGTAGTAAAAAATTCACAATTTTCTTTTTATTTTCTTCCTCATTCTCCTTATTTCCCCATTTTCCATAATTATTGCCGAAAATTAAATACAAGTTTATTTGTCTAATGTGCTTTCGATTTAAAAAAATAGAAATATCGTTTTTACTTAGATACTTTGACGAAATACCACATTTATATATCACTGCCTATACGCCTCGACATTTCTCTTTCGAGAATACACACATCTATTTTACTGCTTACAAAACGTGATTGTACCAATGACACTTCAAAACTGAAAAACACGACTTCTGATATACTGCCGCTGTAGTATCGATAATTCATAACAAAAGAAAAAAAATGTTAGGTTTTGTTACGTAAAAATATATAAAACCTTTGTCTATTAAAATGGGAGTAAAGTCGCAGGAAAAAAAGGGGAGATATATTCTTTTTAATAGTTTTACGAACTTTATAATGATACGAGGGAAAGAAGGCAAAACCAATATGTACCTGTAATAATTGCAGATGCTAAAGCGCAGTACTTCAGATACAAATTTATATTAAAACCAGCATTCCAATTGAAGTTGTAGCGATGTTAAGGAGGAGAAATTTTGGATAGAAATTATACTTTCTAGATCGATATTTTATGCGCTTGTGTTGTACATTCATTAGTCGAAATACTGATTAACTATCGTAGCACCGATAAAGTAAACTTTTATACGGATGTTTGAAAATGAATATCCATTTAATGATAGAATTTTTGGACAATTTAGACACGATTTTTCCTTGGCAAAAATTTCGAAATGATAATTTTCATATTACAAGCGATTGAGAAAAAGAACTTGCGAAATAAACTTCCAGCCAAATTAATAATAAAATTACATTTCTTAATCAAATCTAGATGAAATTTACTTTCATACAATTTTGATTTAAAGCCAGTGATAAAAATATATATATTGTGAAATAAACTTCCAGCCACAAATTAATAATAAAATTACATTTCTTAATCAAATCTAGATGAAATTTACTTTCATACAATTTTGATTTAAAGCCAGTGATAAAAATATATATATTGTGAAAACAGTTGGAAAGTTGCAAAGATTCGATCTCTGAATTTCTAAATTTTAAAAGATGAACTTTTTTCTTGCAAAATAGCTAAAAACTTTGTCATTAAAAGGACATTAATAGTGTTTTCATGACACCCTATATATCATTGTACAAAGATTTGTGGATATTTTTCAGTTACGAGATATATTATTTTGGGGAAGAGGAAAAAATTAATCTGTAAATTTTTCGAAGTATGTTAAATTAAAAATGTACAAGATTAAAACGTCGTTAATCTATATCTATAAAATAATATACGCGATCTCTGTTTCGATCGATTGTTGATGTTATATTCGATCGTGATAATATTGACGAAGATAATATCCGAGATAAGTGAGAGATAAGCCAAAGAACACTGGAAAATCGACGTATCGATCGAGTCTATAAACGAGAACGCACATTATATCTCGTCCTTGTCCAGTTAGAGAATCGTCCTTTACACAAAATAAGAAAACCAATTTCTTAAAATTAAAAGATATTTAGAAACTTTCAAACTCTGCAAATTAAAAATTGTGAGCTCATCATCCAAAATAGGACTTTTATTTTGTCACAATAAGAAGGCCAACTGGACAAGGATCTTTATATCTGCGTAGTATCAAAAAAAAAAATGTGATTATTGTGGACATTATTATTATAGAGTATATGAGTTGAACATTTTCGGAAATGCGTTCTCTCTAACTATTGTTAGATATCTAAAGAAATTTATATTACGACTCGTGAGGAATTTAGAGAAGGATTTTCTTACTTTGTGAATATATATACATACATATTAACATCGAGAATTGCATTTAATTATAGAGATCGTCTAACATCTCGAGAGACTTAAGTTTTGTCACTCTGTAGTGTGATTTTTATGCTGGCCTTGCAGAGTCAAAGAAAGATTATCTATATTATAGAGAGTTTTTCATAATATTATATATATTATTAGAAGCGAAAAGAACAAGAAGAAAAGGTAGGAAAAGAGAGAGAGAAAATACTATTGCTACAGATATATAAATATATTTTGTATCTCTGACATTATAATCATTCATCTCTGTCTCTACACTAATCTCCGATACGAAGAATGTATATATATTTCCTACGACACTGACACAAATACTCAAAGTACTTCAATTTACTGAACTGTTTTAGAAAATATATCAACGATATAGAATGATGGGAAATACACGTCCATACTCTCGAATACGTAAAGCGCTTCTCTTTCGCGATCGCGCGTTTAAAAAAAAACTACAATTCTTATATATATTTACTGTATCGCGACCTGCATAAAAAAAATGTACGTATACGCATACATAGGGAATGTTAGCGTAACTCTTTCAATGGGGTCATTGTTGCACTGGAGATTGCATCTACTTAGAATCAGGACTCTACATTTCCTAACTCTACAAGAAACTTGGACCAAATGTATGAAAACTGTTTGAAAGTCTATCGATCATTAAACTTCTATTGCCAAACAATCGGTGCAAAATGCGAAAACGATTATGTATTATACAGACAGCACACAATATTAATATAATATGTACAAAATATTTATAATAATTATATAATCTTTCTATTAAACACAAATAAAGTATACGAAAAAAATTAACATAACTTTTTACCTGCAACCTTTACTACCAGTTTCATTATTTTTACTGTTATCCCTTTCTCTGTGCCACTCTTGTTTGCTAATTTATAGACTATTCGATTTAAACTTTCAACTTCAATTAGACTAAAAACTTCAAATACACTTTCCGTATATCTAACATCCCTTACTATCTCCATTCTAAGATCATTTTCTTTAAATGCCGAAATACTATCTATAAAGTATCTATTAAACATGGTTGCCATTTCGTTTATATCTTTGACTATTTTATCTCCACACCGTATTTCCTTATATACATTATCGCGGAAGGAGCTACCTTTCAGCAACTTCTTCAGTGACCCCCACATTCGCTTCGGATTCTTTTTGTTTTTATCAAGTTTATTCTCTAGATAACTTCTTTTAGCCTTCCTACATGCACCAACACCTCTGTTTCTGAATTGTCGAAACAATTCCCAATCAGCATTGCTCTTACTTATACGCGCTGTCTCATAAGCCTTATCTCTTTGTCTCAGAATCTGTCGAATCTCATCAGAAAACCATTGCTTTCCCAGCCACTTATTTTGTAACTTGATTTTTCTATTTGGAGCAACTGTATCAAGACATTTAATAATCATATCTATAGCTAAATCCGCCAGAATATTGACATTGCTATCCTGTGTAATATCAATGTTATTAATACTAGTATCAACTAGTCTCAAAAATTCTTCAACATCCATTCGCTTATAGTCTCTACATATACTATCATCTTATTCTCTGTTTCTACCGGATTCACGTTCCAATACACCACCACTATTGAATGGTCTGTTATTTTTGGCTCATGATTTACATTGTACTTCAACTTCCATATTGGTAAAAATCAAGTCAATTATCGTCTCAGAAGAGTTTACTATTCTTGTTGGTTCATTGACCAGTTGTTTTAAACCTACAGAATTCATTACTCTAGTTAATCTATTTTGACAATAGTTGTTAACCTTCACTCAAAAAAGTGGTTTTGCAATTACAGCAAAAATTTTCTGGGTGCGCAAAATTAACTGAGGTACATAAATGATTAGCAAATACTGTGATATCGCATATGTTTCGCAAACGCCGAGTGATCTGAGTTCACACACAAGTTCTTGATTTTAAATATTCTAATTTTTTCTTCGCAATTTAAACACTTTTTTATTTCACTTCTACACCCTTTAGTAGCATGTTTCCCCGCGCATATACCGCACGTTTCTTCTTTAGTACAATCTTTCGCGAAGTGGTAGTATCCGCAGCACTTAAAACATCTTAAAATTCCTATATAGTCCTCTATTTTACATATCTTCCATCCTATTTTCACTTTTTCTTCTTTTAGCATTTGTTCGTGCGTCTCCTCATTCACTTCTGCTATAATCGTCGTTCTCTGAGATCCTTCCTTTCTTGACTTGTGCAAAATTTTTCCATGCACACTGCTTGTCCTGAACTCATTTTGTTCTTCCACTTTTTCCCAAAATTCTTGCTCATTTTCGCTATCTTCTCTGTCAATATCAAATATCCTAATTTTCAATTTTGTCTTCCTTGGAGCTTGTATTACATATTTTTAACCTAGGTCCTTCGTTACTTTCTCTTTCAATCTTTCTGCTTGAATTTTATTTTCGCATCCAACTACAACTGCTCCTCTCGTTATTTTTTTCATTTTTGTAATCCCTACTCCCAAACTTGAGACATCAATTTTATTTTTAATGTCATTTTTGGTAACATCACTAGAACCAGCATCCTCATTCTTAGGCTTGATAATTATTACTGCCTCTCGTTCCTTTGAGACAGCTTCACTGTAAGTCTTTTTCTTTTCTGGATCCTGCTGGTTACTAATCATCATTGGCAGAACATCCGTTATTCTTTGTACTTCACTCCTTACTGCTTTACCTATAAGTAATTCAAGCTCGCTTTTTTTCCATGTTTGTATTTCTTGTCTTATTCTATCCATTTCTTCTTTAATAGCTTTTCTAACGGTATTTTTAATTAAGATTTTTCCTATTATATCATCCTTTATTTCCCTTATCAGCTCGTACAAGGCATCAATTTTACCATCCATATTACTTCCTGATGCTTGACCGCCTTCAGTACGTGATAGCAATTCTCTGTCACTGTCTCTCGCTATTAACTGAATATACTTCCGATTTTCCTTTACAGAGGACTAATTCATTAAATGAATTATATACTTTATGTATCTTGAGACAGCTAGGATAGAGAGAGAAAGAGAGAGAGAGAGGGGGAGGGGGAGGGAGAGAGGGAGAGAGAGAGGGGAGTTGTGAGAGAGGGAGTGAGGAGGGGGAGAGAGTTCTTGAGGAAGAGTGAGAGGGTAGAGAGAGGGAGAGTGAGAGAGGGAGGTGGGAAAGAGAGAGAGAAAAAGAGACCGGAGAAAAAAAGAAGGAGGAAGAATATGATATTAGGTAATAATATTTATGATATTAGGCAGTTATATTGGTTTATTTTATGACGTATATGATTTTGTGTATGTATCATTAAAAATGTTTAATGTCCACGGTTCACGCTTGTGTGTGTATCCCCTGCATTACGGAGTCGTGTTGCTCGTTTCAATTCTGGCATCAGTTGCGGAACGTACAATAGCGGGGACACTGGGAATTTCTTATCAAAAGAATGATCCTCTAGTTATGAAACAGTATTCTAATTTTTTT